CAAACTGAGATGTTAATATTAGAAAAATTAATAAATGAGCTAAAATGAATCTTGCTTAAGAAAGATGTGTATCAGTCAGTCACCTGCCTTTATAATTTATAAATGGGAAGGCCATTTGGACGGCAATGAATGAAGAGACTGAATCTAAAATTGAAAACGCAAAGCTCAAAACAAGGAGGTGTTGGGATGTATGAATATGTGAGTATAACTAAAAGATGTGTAAAAATTCTATATCAATAAGAAATAAAGTATTAAAGTGTATATAAATGTGAAAGGTTCTAAATTTGATAAATATGTTTTTTAGATTTAATATATTTTAATTTTTAAATTTAAACAGAATTTTTAAAGAAAAAAATTTATTTACACATAATTATTAAAAATAATTTTTGCATATAATTTTAATCATTTTAATCATTTACTTTTTACTATGACTAGTTGTAAACGACTTAAACCGAGTTGAGTATTTGAATGCGAGGCTTGAGCTCAACTCCAAGGTATCAATGCTTGAGTTTTCTTGACCTCAAAAAAGTGAGACTAGAGCTTAACTTGTTAAGAGAAAAGTGATGCTTAAGTGGATCGAGTATTTCATGAATTGCCAACTTACTTATAATTTAAAATAATTAAAATAAATTAAATAATATAATTTTTTAAATTCTTTTAAATTCTTTAATATAATCGAGTAACTCGAGAGTAAGCTCACGAGCTTAACGTGTAGTTTCGAACTCAAGCTCAATTATTTCTTGAGTTTGCAATTAAATTCAAGCTTAGTTCATTTAGCAAACAGGTTAAGATCAAGCCAAACTTATATCAAGCAACTTCAAAGTAGTTCACGAGTTGTTGGATTCATTTATAATTTCATGAATAATTAAGATTTATTATAAATTTTTAAATAAAAAAATATTTATTTTTTAAAAAGTAAAATAAAAAATTAATATATTTTAATTTTTAAATGAAAACAAAATTTTTAATGGAAAAAATTTGTTTACACATAATTTTTAAAAATAATTTTTACATATAATTTTAATCATTTACTCTTTACTATGACTAGTTGTAAACTACTTAAACCGAGTTGAATATTTGAATGCGAGGTTTGAGCTCAACTCCAAGGTATCAAAGCTGTTAAAATATTTATCATCGACTTGAGCTAAAAGGTAAAGAAGTAAAAGTCTTCTAGAAGCATATATTTTACTATAAAATAAATTGAAGCCACACAAGAATATATGATAAAAAGAAAGCCACGATAGTTGTGTGTCTAGATTTTTGTATGTATGATAAATTAAAATATTACAAACAAAAGAATACTTTAGAATATGGACAACCGGTGTACATCACTAATTTTTGTAAGTAAAAAGAAGAATGAAAAAGAAATAAAACAGCGTTTGTGCGTGAGTTCAATAGAAAAGTATTCTGCTATTTCCTTTCT